GGTGGCTCATAGCTTTCGCCTCGTCCAGCGTCCTCTTGTTGCTGATCTCTCCAGTGCACAACCCCACGCGGAACGGGTGCTGCCAGCCTACTACTGCAGCTCATGCGACAACCAGATGTTGTAGCTGGAGTTGGCGTCTACTGCGCGCGCCTTCACCACCACGTGGTCTCCACTCTCCGAATGCGGCACCAGCTTGTTCACAGCGCTGCCAGCCGACCCAAGGCGCCAGCAGCGCCAGCCAAGTTGTCATTCCCGCAGTGACACCTGCAGCGTTACGTTGCTGCCCAGAGGCTGCACGCCTGCGTCGCCCGCGCTCCCCTGGAACTGCAGCAGCTCCAGCTCCTAGTGGTTCAGCGGCTGCAGAGCGTACACCTTGCCACTCTGCGTGCACTGACACTTAGCTCGACAGCGTGCCCCCGCCCACCCGCCGCTCCACCAGCTAGTAGGACGCCAGCGCGTTCTCCTGAGCATCACCGTCTCGCGCGAACACTGTGAAGATATGGCAGCCCGGAGGGTTGTTCTCTTTCATGAACACCATGTACTCTGGCTGCATGAACGCCAGAGTGTTATGGTTCACTGTCGGCCACTTGCACGGACTCGATGCCCATAGCCACTAATGAAAACGAGTCCCCTTTCCGGGCGGTAATCAACTGATAGATTTGCTCTCTTCGTCCAGGGTGCTGTGGAGCACCAACGAACAGGTGCTGGGCAGCGCCTATTGAAGGTGGACACCAACTTGAAGGGACATGAGGCATCAGGGTGAGAGTCACCTGTCCCTTGACACTGAATTTAGCATCAAGTACACTGACAGAGCTATGATGGTACCTAGCGGAGTGTCTTCCTGTACAGGGAATGATAAGGACTACTGCTAACTCTGGAACACTATCATTGATGTCCCAGACTTCCATCAAGTCTGTGCAGTAGCAAACATTGGGGAATTGCCTTTGTCAACTGCCTGTATTTGAATCTTCCATTATTTAGTTTCCTCCAAACCTGTCTTTACATTTACTTTTCTTTCTCCACTGTCTGTATCTATGTGAAAAAGGGCTTCTATGTTAGGGGAGACATCAGTTGCAAAGAAACGATGTGGCTGTTTGAAACCTGTCCAAATTCTAAGGGTTAAGTCTAATAACCAGTGTACCTGTGGGCACAGTGGTTCACGCCTGTAATCCCAGCACTTTGGGAGGCTGAGGTGGGAGGATCACAAGATCAAGAGATCGAGACCATCTTGGCCAAAAACATGGTGAAACCCTGTCTCTACTAAAATTACAAAAATTAGCTGAATGTGGTGGCACGTACCTGTAATCCCAGCTACTTGGGAGGCTGAGGCAGGAGAATTGCTTGAACCCAGAAGGAGGAGGTTGTAGTGAGCTGAGATTACATCACTGCACTCCAGCCTGGGTGACAGAGCAAGGCTCCATCTCAAAAATAAATAAATAAATAAATAACCAGTGTACCTTCTCTTGCATTTTCCAGTAATTTTACAAGACAGACTACTTTGCCAAACACTGGGGCATCGTCATGTACATCACTGTGTCATGTAATGCTTTGGTGCCTGTCAGCTCAGCTTTGCCCCCATCAGTTGCTTTAAGCACCAAAAGTAACTCTGAAGTGACTTATCTATCTGCATTTTTTTTTTGAGACGGAGTTTCGCTCTTGTTACCCAGGCTGGAGTGCAATGGCACGATCTCGGCTCACCGCAACCTCCGCCTCCTGGGTTCAGGCAATTCTCCTGCCTCAGCCTCCTGACTAGCTGGGATTACAGGCACGCATCACCATGCCCAGCTAATTTTTTGTATTTTTAGTAGAGACGGGGTTTCATCATGTTGACCAGGATGGTCTCGATCTCTTGACCTCGTGATCCACCCACCTCGGCCTCCCAAAGTGCTGGGATTACAGGCTTGAGCCACTGCGCCCGGCCCTATCTATCTGCATTTTAAAAATGCACCTTCAAGTGGTTTTACCTGCTCTTCATTTGTTGGTATTTCCCGGGAAAAATAATCACTGGGGTACAGTATGTAAATCAGCAGAGCATTGGCCCCTGCTGCTGCATCCCAGACACCCCCCAGTGAAAAACAAGATTCAAGAGCCCTTGTTTTCTAAATAGATTATTTTGTGTCGCTGAGAACACTGGCAGGCTGTCTTTAACGTCTTTCACTTCCATCTCCACATGGAAAATCTGTAGCAGCTTGTTCACAACCACCTCTAGGTGGATGCTGCCCTCCAAGATTCGCCAACACAGCTCCTCGAGGTCGATCCGAGAATCCACAAACAAAATGCCATTCTGCAGATTTACCTCCAGATGGTCCCCATGGCCTTTGGAATCCACCCAGAACGGGTGCGGCACCAGCTCCAGACCCAGGTCCTGCATGATGTGGCCCAGAAAAGTGTCAGGTGCCATCCTTGGCCTCTTCCAGGATGGTATAGTGGAGCTGGTCCTCCACTTCCTCACAAATTTTGAGGAGTAAAAGCCAGTGCTGTAGGCTCCAGGATTCCTGGCCACTTAGTCTGGCAGCTAACATCATGCCTCTCTTTCAGTTAGTAAAACAGTATTTCATGACTAGAAAGACATAGTTCCTCTGAGATCTTTTGATTCCTTGTTCCTGATGTTCCACATTATCTTAATGGGTGCTTGTGGTTCTTAAAGCACAGGAACGATGGAGCTTCTTTCTGATCTAGGAATAATCTGATTTTCGCCTGTTAAAAAAATACTTTTCTTGGAGAACAACAATATCCTGTAGCATAATACATAAGTGGATTTGATTTCATATTATTTCACTTACCTTCCATGTTCCTAATTCCTACATATGCATTTACAGGTATTGCATGTGGGTTTTTTTTTTTTTTTTTGAGCTTTCAAGTCCTTTCCTATATCTTCTTGTGTGTGACCAGTACCTCTTCAAAAGTAGGTTTGTCTTACAAATTAGAATTCCATGAACAGTTTTATCTTGTATGTGGACATCCTAAAGAAAGTACTACTGCGCCCACTGTATTATCACATGAATAAATATGAAATAAGATCATATTTGCCAGATACTTGTGTTATTATTTCCTTTACCTTTTCCAATTTTTGAAATAGGATCTCACTTTGTTGTCCAGGCTAGAGTGCAGTGGCACAATCATGGGTCACTGCAGCCTCAACCTCCTGGGCTCAAGTGATCCTCCCACCTCACCCTTCCAAGTAGCACTATGGTAAAAACTACAGGCATGTACCGCCACGCCAGCTTATACACATAAGTACACACACACACACACACACACACACACATAAGGAGTACACACACACATATATATAAGGAGTACACACATCTATATGTAAGGAGTACACACATGCACACACACACGTGTGTGTGTGTGTGTGTGTGTGTGTGTAAGGAGACTCCATCATATATATGTTCAGTACAAGGTATCCCTACATTGCCCGGGTTGATCTTGAACTCCTGGCCTCAAGCAATCCTCCAACCTTGGCCTGTCAAAATGCTGGGATTACAGGTGTGAGCCACCATGCCTGGCCTTAAATTCGTACTGATGAAGAGATTAATGCACCTGTATACCAGAGGCTTTTATGACTGGTATGAGTTTTTACTAAATTTTATATATTACTTATGATATTCGGGAGGATATTTTTCAAATATCAGAGGAAGTATATATTTCATAAACCTATTTTGATATAACAAATATTGTATCATTTCTAAACTCTGCATTAATTTAGCATCTATAATTTCTAAGAGCTGGAGACAGGGCATGGAGAGTATTAAGACTGAAAGAATGCCATGTTTAAATTCTTGCCACAATTGTCTTTTTGATGTTCCTAAACTTGAACAATAATTTTAACTTCTATTTGAAGCTATTTATGAAGCACATATGAGTAACAAATTCAATCTCCATACTCAAAGGGAAAGGAAAGGAAAAGTAATTGCTAAGAGCTGTAGGCAAGATGATAAATTCATGGCATTGGTGTTTGGTAATACTAGAATTAATAAAGTTTTTTTAATGAAATCATGAGTATCAGGTAACAACCAATTTCAGAAAAACACAATCAATAGTGCAGCTTTGTCACTAGGCAACTAAATTAGCTTTTATTTCTGGGTCTATATCATACAACCCAACCCTGTTTAAAATGACTAGAGAAGCTTTTTTGTTTTTCTTTTTTTTTAGGTTTTGGGACTAGAGAAGCTATTAAACTAAACTTTACAATATAATAGATCAGTAGAAAACATTGACTTAATTTTCTCCTCAAACTTTTAATATTAATTAGTAATATTTTCAATCTCAAAATTAAAAGGTGTTCAAATGCTCTTCGTTATTAAACATAAGCATGACTCCTTCCTCAAAGTGAAAGAGTTAATACCTGAATATCATAAGCAATGCCTAATGATAAAGGAGCAGATAACTGCTGGATAAAACTATGTAAATAACTAAAATACACACTGTCTTCTGCTAAGTAAAGGGAATAATACACACTGACACAGGTGCCACTACAACTAAAATAAAAATGAAAAACATTTTTAAAGTTCAAAGCATTTAACTTAATTGCTAAGATTAAGAAATTTTAAATTGCCACCTACTTACTGTGCTATTGAGGAAAAACTGTAATTGCTAATCACTGAACTCTACTATGGCAGTATAAGCTATGGTACACTACACATATTCTACACATGGGAGAAAACACATTTTCACTGAAGAGATATTGATCAGTTAATTAACAAAAAATCATATTAATTTTTAATGCAAATACAATAAAATCAAAATTTAGATTGGAAAATGAAATAACATTAATTGAAATACTAACCTTACAAATATTTGTAACGAAAAGTGATTATGAAAGTAAATCATCAGAACTGCCACCCATATCACATATTTGTATTGGAAAATATTAGTGTATTCAGAACAAATTGTTACTTTAAAAACTTAAAGTAACAATCAAAAGCTGACACAGTGGGTAGGATAGAAAAAATTTAAAAACAACTCCTGGAATAAGTTATATTACAAGAGTATCATTAGAAATATTCAGGTATAAATGGTATGTAGACAAAAATGAAACATTCTGAGATACATATTTGAGAAAATGCAGTAAGAGAAAATATTATCACAAAGCACAAAAAGGAAAGGAAAATGTAATAACCCACCTTCCTAGAGTGGTCCCCTCCAACAGGCTGATCTTCCGCTTCCACATCTACTGTTGGGCACGGTGGAAGGCTGGGGCTGAAGGCCATGAGGTCCGCCTTGGGCGGGCCTTCCCCAGAACACACCCTCTGCCGCCTCTGCTGCGAGTAAGACCAGCTCCCCACCGCGCTAGAGCACACCAGCGTGGGCTTCATCGGCCCACAGGCGCCCTCGGTGGGCGTTGCCGAGCACCGCAGTGCCGTGTACAGCAGCAGCGTGAGCACCAGCAAGCTGGACACCGCGCAGATGGCGATGATCAGGTACACGTTGACATCCACCAGGGCCACCTCTTGCCCCACGCCCACTGACGCTCGCAACGAGGCCTTGGGTGCCTGACCGCCCTCCACAAGTGACACGAGCACAGTGGCTGTGGCCGTCAGCGCCGGCTCACCATGATCCTTCACCAGCACCAATAGGCGCTGACGCGGCGAGTCAGCTTCATCCAGAGCGCGCGTCGTACTGATCTCTCCCGTGTACAGCCCCACGCGGAATGGGATGCGTGCGCCAACCGCCGCCGACTGCAATTCATACGACAGCCACGCGTTGTATCCCGAGTCAGCGTCCACTGCGCGCAACTTCGCCACCACTTGGCCCGCACCCACCGAACGCAGCACCAGCTCACTGACTGCACCGTTCGCGCTGCCAGCGGGAGACGCCAGCAGCGCCGGCGCGTTGTCGTTCTCATCCAGCACGAACACCTGCAGTGTCACGTTGCTGCCCAGAGGCGGCACGCCCGCGTCGCGCGCGCTCACCTGGAACTGCAGCAGCTCCAGCTCCTCGTGGTCCAGCGGCTGCAGCGCATACACCTTGCCGCTCTCCGCGTGCACCGACACGTAGCTCGACAGCGCGCGATCGCCCACTCGCCGCTCCACCAGCGAGTAGGACACCAGCGCGTTCTCCTGCGCGTCCGCGTCCTGCGCCGACACAGTGAAGATGTGACAGCCCGGTGGGTTGTTCTCCTTCACGAACACCGTGTACTCGGGCTGCGCGAATGCCGGCGCGTTGTCATTCACGTCGGCCACTTCCACGGACACGCTGGCCGTGGCCCACAGCGAAGGCGAGCCCCCGTCCCGCGCGGTCACCACCAGCTCATAGGCCGACACGCTCTCGCGGTCCAGGGCTCTGTCCAGCACCAACGAGTAGTAATTCTTGTAGGTAGAGACCAGCTTGAAAGGGACATGGGGTGTCAGAGAGCAGGTGACCTGTCCGTTGGCTCCTGAGTCATGGTCAGACACGCTGATCAGGGCGATGACGGTGCCAACTTGAGAGTCTTCTTTCACTGGGAGAGACAGGGAAGTGACAATCACCTCAGGGGAATTATCATTTTCATCCAGTAATTCCACTAGGACCGTGCAGTGACCAACCATAGGTGGATTTCCCTTATCTGTAACATCTACATGAATTTCATAAGTGTTACTATCCTCAAAGTCAATAGCATCATTTACTTTTATTTCTCCCGTCGTTTCGTTTATCCAAAATTTCCTTCTTATCATGGGTGGGACCAAAGAGCTAAATGAATATATCATTTCCTTGTTTATCCCTTCATCCGAATCAGAAGCATTGAGCCATATAACTAATGTTTGGTTCACTTGATTTTCATACATCTTAACTTCATAAACTGGTCTATCAAAGATAGGGGCGTTATCGTTGGCATCTAACACCAGGATAAGCAGAGAAACCGATCCGGTAAATTCAGGTTTGCCTCCGTCAGTTGCTGTCAGTAACAACTTTAGCTGAGGATTTTCTTCACGATCCAGCAGTTTCCGCAGAACAAGCACTGGGAATTTTTCTTTGTCTTTTTTGTTCATAATGTCAAGAATAAAAAACTCATTTGAACTGAGTTTGTAAGTAAGCAATGCGTTCTCTCCAACATCCGCATCAGATGCGCCTTCTAGCGGAAATCGAGAGTCAAGCAGTCTGGATTCAGGTATTAAGAGCTTTTGTTCTGCTACGGAGAACCTGGGCGGATTGTCGTTAATGTCCTTCACTTCCACGTCCACATGGAAAACCTGCAGCGGCCTGTCCACGATCACCTCCAGGTGGATGCTGCACTCCGCGCTCCGCCCGCACAGCTCCTCGCGGTCGATCCGAGAATTCACAAACAAAATGCCATTCTGCAGATTTACCTCCAGAAGGTCCCCGTGTGTCTTGGACGCCACCCGGAACAGACGCGGCACCAGCTCCGCCAGCTCCAGCCCCAGGTCCTGCGCGATGCGGCCCACGAAGGTGCCGTGTTTGGCCTCCTCCAGTACCGTGTAGTGGAGCTGACCGCTCCCCACCTCCCAGGATGCAAGGAGAAGAAGCGAGAGCAGCGGACACTGGGCCCCCAAGCAGCTACATCTGGAAACCATCTTATCCTTCTCCTGTTTTACAAACCGACGAATGCACATACGACCTTACATTTTCTGTCCTTTTCTTACATCTATTTTCTGTCGAAATGGCTGAGATCTCAGAGGGAAGCTACTTCCTAGTCCTTTAGAAACTGGAAGATGCCTTTGTTCTAAAAAACCATTTTGTGGACGACAGCGACATCCGGTGGCTTTAGGTGTAAGTACAATTCCATGAGTTTACAACTTCTTTCATTCATATATTAATTTTTTACGTATTTTTATGTCTATGGACTTTCAAAGCCTCACATTATATCTCTTTACAGATAATAATAACAAATGTTGATCCCAAGTGCAATATTTTCTTAAATGTAGAATCTCATAGTAGTCATTTATTCCCTAACTACATGATTATCGACAGCTGAATTTCAACATGCCCTTAGTATTTGCATGCTACTAAGTATATTAATATTTTATTAAATAACAAGTTTAGTTCCCTTTAAGTTCTGATACTTAACTTACTTCTCTTTCTCATTATTTTGAGATTTAATAAAGTTTATTTAGACACTAATGTCAAGCATCAACTATCTCTGATGTGTTTGTAACTCCTAAGTTCTAAATTCACTGGAACTTAGAGAGATCATTAGCTTCAACATCAGACATTTCTCCATTTAGATTCCTATTATCCTATTCACTAGCCACGTGATTTGGTGACAGTCATTTAAACTCTCCCTGCCTCATGTTCCAATTTTATAACTTTAGCCTAATAGTATATGGTGGTTGCGTGAATTATAATATATTAAGTGCTTGCAACAGCACCTTAAGGAGAATGAGTGCTTCATAAATGGAATCTATCCCCAGGCCTCAATTTGACCATGTTTGTTTTCATGAAGCTTAATACCAAATCTGGCTTTTCAGGCAAAATTATTACCTATAGAACGTGTTCACTCTACAATGCCTTAATTATTGCTACTGCACAGGCTGACAGTGGTGTTTTCCATATTTAAGAAAACAGAAAAGTACTGTTATTGAAAAATCCTTTATAAAAGGAGAGGTTTCATTTTATAATATTTTATATAGGCAAAAAGAATCTTAATTATGATTCTAAAAAAGTAATTAACAAATGTATTATTTCTGTTTTCAGAAACAAATGTTTTTATCCCTGTTATATTTACACTTTTCAAACACCCAAAAGACACAGTTCTGAAATGTATCTAAAAATTTTATCAATGTCAATGAAGTTTTTCATTACCACTTGCTGTAAAAATATTTTTTCTCTCTCAAAGTTATTGAAATCAAATATTCAGGAATGAAAATTTTATATATCTGTGCTGCTGAAAAAAATGGGTTTTCTATCTTTCCAAGAAAGAAAAACTTAAAAACAGAAATTTTGGTCTTACACAAGAGTTAATTTATTTTATTTAATGATGTTATGACTTTTGTAAATAATATTTTTAAGTGTGTCAATAACTTTAAACTCTTTTTTATTAAAATCTGAACGACAGAGTAACAATATTTATGAATAAGAAAAATGACAGAAATGGGTGTCACTTAATCCAACAGCTTATGTGTCCTACTAAATTCTGTTTCTATACTCTCTACTCCTTTGGAATGCCTCTTGTGTCAAGATTCATTCAAAATCTGATGTTAGAGATTATTTTTTTATAAACCTTGAATTAAAATGTAATGAGTTACCTATCAAAATATCAAGTTCTGTTTTAGCTATCTGGAGTGTAAAAATAAGTTTGCCATTGGTCAATCATCTCCATACACAAAATAATAAAAACAACTCAATTTCTACTAACGTACATTTTATACCAAGTAATAACATAAATATTCCAATGTAGACGTCCAATAAAAAAGTGAGGAGTAGTTAAGTGACTCTTTTTCTCTTTTGAGACAGAATATCGCTATCACCCAGGCTGAAGTACAGTGGTGCTGTCACAGTTCACTGCAGCCTCACTGTCCCAGGCTCAAGCATTTCTCCCACTTCAGCTTCCCGAGTAGTTGGGACTACAGATGCATGCCACCATGCCCAGCTAATTTTTTTGACCCTCTCACCTTGGCCTCCCAAACTTTGGGATCACAGGTGTCAGGCCACATCTCTTTAAATTACAAAAACTTGCACTGTGAAGTATCGAAGAGGGCTATGGATCTAAAACTTCAGTTGTATGAGAATCATCTCAGGTGTGCTTTAAAATGACAGTTTGCTCATATTACCCATTTCGGAATTTCTGAGATGGAGTCTTGAACTAGAGCATTCAATGAGGACTCTAGATGCTGCTAATTCTTTAGCAGGTCTAAGGATAGGATGACCATAGGCCCCAGTTTGTCTGGAACAGGCTCAACTTAGGTCTGTGATCTTGTATACATATTTGCAATCCCCCCTTTTCTCTCGAAGTGTCTAAGATATTGGGTGATAATTTAGTTTTCCCTATATAGTAACTACAACTCGAAGAGAACTGGCATAGGAGGAGCTTCATTATTGTTTCATCATTCTGACTTGAGTTGAGGAATGTTAATTACAGAAGCATATAAGGAGAGTTATTATGCAAAATAGGAAAGCCTCTTCTGCTCTCACCTCTCTATTTTGAACTTGCCAGCCCTTTTTAAATTTTACCCTCTCTGGATCCCAGTGTTAATGTTTACTAACGACCTCAAAAGATAAATAAGGTGTTCACAGCTCTTTCGATAATTTGCATATGATGACAGCCCACGCTCTGGGAAAGAATAAAGATTAATATGAAGGATGAAATTACCAATCGCACCAACACAGCCATAAATAATAAAGAATATATTATACGATTATTGATAACATAGTAAATGCTTCATAAGTACTATCTCTAAGAGACTGGGGGACATAGGCGGGGGACAAATGACATCTGTAGCATCCCTCTATTCATACAAACAATCAAATACCTAGGCCCAAGTTTCAATGGCACATGAAACTTGAAAAAAGTGCAGTGACAAAGATACTTGAAAGTATAAGTCTGTATTCAAGGTGAGTTGTGCTGATAGACGTAGATAGATTTAATGATGGGAGCTCAGCAACCACTCGAGTTCTGAATGAAAATGAAAAAAAAAAAAAAAAAAAAAAAAAAAAAAAGGCTGGGCACAGTGTCTCAAGCATGTAATCCCAGCACTTTGGGAGGCCAAGGCAGGCAGATCATAAGGTCAAGAGTTCAAGGCCAAACTGGCCAACATGAGGAAACCCTGTCTCCATTAAAAATATAAAAACCAGTGGGGCGCAGTGGCACGTGCCTGTAATCCTAGCTACTCAGCAGTCTGAGGTGGGAGAATTGCTTGAACTCGGGAGGCAGAGGTTGCAGTGAGCCAAGTTCACAGCACTGCACTCCAGCCTAGGTGACACTGAACTCCAGCCTGGGTGACAGAGCAAGACTCCATCCCAGAAAGAAAAAAAAAAGAGAGAGAGAGAGAGATGACAAAAAATATATAATGTAGCATGGTCCAAACGTGTTTTAAGGGAAAATTTAAAAATTAACATATTTTATTTTAAATAATGTCACTTGCATTTTCATAGTTATTGTTGTGGCTCTATTCTCAAGGCCATTCTGATCTTGCTCCACTGAGTTTTTTTTATTAAGTCATACCTTATAAAATATCTGACACAACATTAAATAAAATAGCTGAAAGAGAAAGAAAAATATAAACCACATAACAAAAACTCAACAAGTGAAGTTTTTAAAAATATAAATTAGAAAACAAACAAATAGCTTGTACTAAAGGTAGAGTGTGGGGAACCGCCATTTTGGAAAGTCACATACTACAATTCAGGAAATATAACATGTAGCGGCATTAAAGGTGCAAATCTCATATCCAGATTTCTGCCTTGTGTTACATATGAAATGAGAGGAGAAAAAAAGATTTTTAAAAAACAGATTTCTGTCTTACGGATTACTGACTGAAAAAGTTAATTCTTATCTAAATTGGTAAGGGTAATTTTTTAAAGTCACAGACTATGAATTTTAAGAGAACTCAAAGTTTGAAATCTTTACATGGCTCATCATTTTATCACTAAATGGAGAAAATGTCAATTAAAAGGAGAATGTCTTCTTGAAGAAAGAAAACACTTGTTAAAAAGTATTTTCTCTAATTTCAGTAAACGACTGAAATTCAAAAAATTTCTAAGTGTAGACACAATTTCAATCAACATTTCCCTATAATCTACATTGTCAGACATTTAAGAACATATTTTATAAAAGTTGAAGGGAAGGCTGTGTTTATAACATTTATTGACATAATTTGATTCCTAAAGTGGAACAACTGTTTTCTAAAGTTTCGAGGAAGTTCCTTATTAAAATAATAGATACTGAGGAGTCCTGAACAATCCAATGTTTACACGCTCTCCAACCAGAAAAATGTAGAGAACTAAAACATTAACAAGGTAACAATTGCTATATATTTTTGCTTGGGTTTCTTATAAACAATATAAGTAGACTTCAAATACTATACAAAATTTAGAAATAAATAAATGATAGTGATGTTAATTTTTAATGAATGACTAACAACTAAATTGATTTCCAGGTGCTATAGCAGCACTGTATCAGAAATTTAATGTTGCTTTCATCACAAATTTAAATAAAATTAATTCCATACCCAATAAATATCTATTTAATATACAGTTAATGATTCTCACTAGAAGTCAAGGCAAAGTCGGCTCCAATGTTAAGGGGTTCACTTTATAAGAAAAAATACTGGACAGGCTCAGTGGCTCACACTTTCAATCCCAGCACTTCAGGAGGCCCAGGCTGACAGATCACGAGATCAAGAGATCCAGACCATCCTGGCCAACATGGTGAAACTCTGTTTTTAATAAAAATACAAAAATTAACTGGGCATGGTGGTGTGGGCCTGTAGTGCAATCGCTTGAACCCGGGAGGCAGAGGTTGCAGTGAGCCGGGATCACACCATTGCACTCCAGCCTGGTGAAAGAGTGAGACTCCATCTCAAAAAAAAAAAAAAAGAAAAAGAAAAGAAAAAGAAGAAATCAATGAATTTCTAGAAAAACGAATAAAACTGTTCAAATTACTGGTAGTAATTTGAAATATCTTTCAAGAAAAAATAAATAATTAGATAAAAAATAAAATACTTCAATGAAATAGAACAACCTACCTTCCCAGATGAATCTAAAGAAACAGAGGGTTCTCCCGTTCGCTCTGTAGATCCAGCACAAGGAGAAAGGCCCGGGCTGAAGGCCATGAGGTCGGTCTTTGGTGAACCCTCGCCAGCGCACACTCTCTGCCTCCTCTGCTGCGAGTAAGACCAACTTCCCACTGCGCTGGAGCACACCAGCGTGGGCTTGCCCGGCGCGCACTCACCCTCGATGGGCAGCGCTGAGCACCGCAGTGCTGTGTACAGCAGCAGCGTGAGCACCAGCAGACTGGATACCGCGCAGATGGCGATGATCAGGTACACGTTGACATCCACCAGCGTCACCTCGGGGCTAGTGGCACCCACTGACCCTCGTGACGATGCCTTTGGTGCCTGGCCGCTCTCCACCAGCGACACCAGAACGGTGGCAGTGGCCGTCAGCGCAGGCTCCCCGTGGTCTTTCACCAGCACTAGGAGGCGCTGGCGCGGAGCATCCGTCTCCTCTAGGGCCCGTGTGGTGCTGATCTCGCCGGTGTACAGCCCCACGCGGAATGGGATGCGCGTGTTGATCCCTTCCGGCTGCAGCTCGTAAGAAAGCCACGCATTGTAGCCTGAGTCTGCGTCCACTGCGCGCACTTTCCCCACCACCTCGCCGGCGCCCACCGACCGCAGCACCAGCTCGCTCACCGCGCCACCGCCAGTGCCACTCCTCCGAGATTCCAGCAGCGCCGGGGCGTTGTCGTTCTCATCCAGCACAAACACCTGCAGAGTCACGTTGCTGCCCAGAGGCGGCACGCCCGCGTCGCGCGCGCTCACCTGGAACTGCAGCAGCTCCAGCTCCTCGTGGTCCAGCGGCTGCAGCGCATACACCTTGCCGCTCTCCGCGTGCACCGACACGTAGCTCGACAGCGCGCGATCGCCCACCCGCCGCTCCACCAGCGAGTAGGACACCAGCGCGTTCTCCTGCGCGTCCGCGTCCTGCGCGGACACAGTGAAGATGTGGCAGCCCGGCGGGTTGTTCTCCTTCACGAACACCGTGTACTCGGGCTGCGCGAACACCGGTGCGTTGTCGTTCACGTCGGCCACCTCCACGGACACGCTGGCCGTGGCCCACAGCGAAGGCGAGCCCCCGTCCCGCGCGGTCACCACCAGCTCGTAGGCCGACACGCTCTCGCGGTCCAGGGCGCTGTCCAGCACCAATGAGTAGTAATTCTTGAAGGTGGACACCAGCTTGAAAGGGACGTGGGGCATTAGGGAGCAGGTCACCTGCCCGTTGGTATCCGCGTCTAGGTCAGTCACACTGATCAGGGCAATAACTGTACCTAGTTGTGCGTTCTCTTTTACAGGAACCGACAGGGTTTTGATAGTCAACTGTGGAGCATTGTCATTAACATCCACAACTTCCACAAGAACTGTACAATGACCAGCCAGTGGTGGGAAACCTTTATCGACAGCCTCTACTGGGATCTTGTGTGCCCTGCTTTCTTCAAAATCCATATGTCCTATCACTGTGATTGCCCCACTTACGGGGTCCATGTGGAACTTGGATTTTATATCTGGTGAAACATCACTGGAGAAGGAGTAAATAATGTCCCCATTCAAGCCCTCGTCTAAATCTGAGGCATTGGGGTTAATCACCAGCGTTCCGATAGAAACGTTTTCTGGTAATTTCACCGTATAGAGGGTTCTGTCGAACACTGGGGCATTGTCATTGACGTCCAGTACCGTGACGAGTAACTGAACGGTGCCAGTCAGTTCAGGCTTGCCTCCGTCGGTGGCCGTAAGCAATAAATGAAGCTCCGGAGTTTCTTCTCTGTCTAGAGGTTTCCGTAATACAAGTCCAAGAGGTTTTACCTGCTGGTTGCTGGTTGGCACGTCCAGAGAGAAATATTCATTGGGGCTCAGTCTGTAAGAGAGCTGGGCGTTCTCCCCGATGTCTGCGTCGGACGCGCCCTCTAGTGGAAACCGAGAGTCAATCGGCCTGGATTTCCGCGATGATCAGATTCTTTTGTGTTGCTGGGAACAAGGGCGGGTTGTCGTTAATGTCCCTCACCTCCACGTCCACATGGAAAACCTGCAGCGGCCTGTCCACGATCACCTCCAGGTGGATGCTGCACTCCGCGCTCCGCCCGCACAGCTCCTCGCGGTCGATGCGAGAATTCACAAACAAAATGCCATTCTGCAGATTTACCTCCAGAAGGTCCCCGCGGCCCTTGGAATCCAACTGGAACAGACGCGGCACCAGCTCCGCCAGCTCCAGCCCCAGGTCCTGCGCGATGCGGCCCACGAAGGTGCCGTGTTTAGCCTCCTCCAGGACGGAGTAGTGGACCTGGCCGCTCCCCACCTTCCAGATCGCTAGGATCGTAAGCGAGAGCAGTAGATGCGGAGCCTCTGGGTCTCCTCGACTTGAGTACAACATTTCAAATACTCGGTCTGTTCTAATTGGTGAAAATTGCCTCCAAATTAGGAAAAATCGTCTGATTTCGTCAGTCCCATTCTGCTGTGTTCGCCATTGTTCAGCACAGAGAGAGTGAATAAGAATGGAGTCTCTTTCCCTGGGAAAAGGGCTGTATTTGTCTGGATTCGGAGAGAACATTGCGGCAAAGAGTGACATCACGTGGCCCAAAGTGTAAGTACATATTTCATGAATAAAAATTTTATAATTATTCTGCGAAACTTATTTCATTCTCTTAATTTCTTCTTAAGTAATCACTGGTGAAACAGAAGATCCCGTTTCTCTTGCTGGAGCCTTCTTAGCAGACTGACTGCCTCTAAAAGTTTAGTATGCTTGTGGTTTTTTCATTTCTGAGAAAATTCTCCATGTAAGTTTTAAATAAAGGCAGAAATGGAGTAACAATTAAAATAATTCCATTGAGCAATCACAAATTTTAAATTACAAAATTCTTTTGTTCTGGAATTCAGAGGCTCCCATATGGGGGCTCAAAATGGATTCTGAAGTAAGAGAAATCTAGGAGTTGCAATCTCTAGTGAATATAGGAGCCCAGAAATCTACTGATGAAAAAGAAACTAGGCCATGTTCAAAAAAAAGGAATCAAGAAAAAGGAGGAACCAACTGAGGTAGTTTTCTTGAGTAATTCTGTGATTTGAAATGGTAGAAAGTATTTTAAGAAAAGCGAGAATTGACTTTAAGGTCTTGCATTGTGTGGGGAGAAAAGACATTTTTCTCTTTTGTAAGATTTATATAATCTGTTTCCAGAAATGTGTTGCTTTGATTCTTATCCAAGCTTTATCACTTATGAATAATCTCTTCTTTGTAATCTCCAGTATAGTTTGTATTATATTAATATATAATATAATACGAATATATTTTATATAATATATTTTAATTTCATTATTGCTTATTCTTAGTACTCAGGACAATTTCTTGGGATTCTTTCCTGCTTAGGTTCTAGAAAGTTCTCTTGTGAGTTTTACTATCTTATTCCAACGTGCAAGTAGATCAATTCAATCTAGATTTTAGTGTATCTCAAGCCTAAAGGAAAAATTGTGACAGTTTATTGTGCCATTGATGTTTTTGCATATTTATCTTTTGTTTCATATTTCCACTGATAACAACCTAAGAGGTGCTTGTAATAGCTGCTTCTGTCCTTGATTATTGTAGTAGTTTCTCATTTTGTCTTTCCATTCAGGCTTCTTTAAAAAGCTGTAAATTATTTTGCTCAAAGTAGTTTAATAGTCAAATTCCTTAATCACTCAGGGTCATTAGTCTATTGCTCAGAAATCAAGAGATCTTCTTACATTGTTTTTTCTGCCTTCATTCTCTGCAGACTGTATGTTTTAACCAAAGTGGACTTTTCTATGTTTCCAATGACATTTATGCTTTTCTGTGTCTTCAATTTTGCTTATATTATTTTTCTTCCAAGAAATGTCTATTATTCTCAATATTCTCCCAGGGGGAAACTTACTCATTTAAAAACCACCGAAAACACACCTTGCCTCTTCAATTATTGCTTTAAAAATTCAAACAGGAAATTATTGTCTTTCAACTTCAACCTCACTATGATTTACCTCTTTTATACTTGTTACGTTATCGTGCCTTGCACTGTGTGACTCATATTCTTTATTTGATCTCAAATTTTAAAACCAGAGGCTGGGTCTCAGTAATAATTCCTGACATCATGACATTTTATTAGAGATCTGTAAGGATCCTATTTAATGTTTAATGGAGACTGGTTACTACAGTCTTCTCTACTTGCTAAGAAAGAATTTTAAGAGGCTATTCTAGACAGGTGTGGTGGCTCATGTCTGTAATCCCAGCACTTTGGGAGGCTGAGGTGGGCAAATCACAAGGTCAGGAGATCGAGACTATCCTGGCTAAGATGGTGAAACCCTGTCTCTATTAAAACTACAAAAAATTAACTGGGTGTGGTGGTAGGCACCTATAATCTCAGCTACTTGGGAGGCTTAGAGAGGATAATTGCTTGAACCCAGGAGGTGGAGGTTGCAGTGAGCTGAGATTGCACCACTGCACTCCAGCCTGAGCAACAGAGCGAGGCTCTGTCCCCTCCCCCAAAAATAATAAAAATAAAATGCTATTCTATAACACTGTATATAAATGGTTTACTTAATTCATAGAATGACAATATAAATTGACTTTAAATCATCATCAAAACATTGTGTATCACATTTTAAGAAAAATACTATTAATGGAAAGAAACATACAAAGATCTCAAACATCTACTCAGCCCCCTGCAGGATCTCAGGCAACTTTTAAATATGGGAAACATACAACTAACAATGTAAGATAGTCTACATATTCCTTGCAAGGACTTTAACTTTTAGAAAAAACTTTTTTTTCCACATAGGTGGTGTTAACTTGACTTTCCTAAACTCATAATAACTTTCAGATTTTTTTCATTCTACCACACAACATTCAAAGTATTGACACATCCTAGGTTAATCTAAAAATGACTTTATAAAATATAATTTTTACATAAAATAAGATTAATACGGAAGGCCATAATGACTTTCTGACATTTTAGGTTTCCTTTTTGCAATCACTAACTTTTTTTCTCTTCAGAATGATAATGGCTAAATTTTATTATATACCTATCACTTGCCAGAATTTAATATTAATAATTTACAACTATTAACTTACTTGATACAAAAGAAATGTATGCAGTAGAATTCACATTTATCACACAAACATATAAAGCCAAGGAACTGAATAACAAATCCTTCACCAAAGGCTACATATACAAAAATTCGTAAAAGGAGGACTTGATTTAGAGAGCTTCAGAAGCCACAGTACTTAATAACTAACTGCTGACACATTTCCATTTCAGAAATACTTAATAGCTAAAAGCATCATCATAATTAGAATAGTGAAAGGTATTAATGTACAAGAAATAGGTTTAGATTTCCTCACTATGAAAGCACAATCCCTAATTCAAATATCAAGTAGAGAGTTGAGGACACACAGAACTAAATGAGAAGTTGCCAAATACAGTGCTAGGTGGTGGGAAGAATCCTCCTATTTAAGATATTTTGTAAAAGTCAATTAAGTGTTTAGGAGATTTCAGTAATTAAAGTAATACCTGAGAACCAGATAGACATAGACAGAATAGGAAACAGTACTTTCACAAAGGAAAAACTACACACGTTATTCAAACAAGATAATAAAAATAAGCTTTTTTTTTTTTTTTTTTTTTTTTTTTTTTTTTTAAGATAGAGTTTCACTCCTGTTGCCCAGGCTGGAGTACAATGGCGTGATTGCATTCACCATGACCTCCACCTCCCAGATTCAAGCAATTCTCCTGCCTCAGCTTCCTGAGTAACTGGGATTACAGGCATGTGCCACCATGCCCTGCTAATTTTGTATTTTTAGTAGAGACAGGATTTCACCATGTTGGTCATGCTGATCTTGAACTGCAGACCTCAGGTGATCCTCCCACCTCACTTTCTCAAAGTGCTGGGGTTACAGGCGTGAGCCACTATGCCTGGCAAGCATAATTTTTTAAGTCCTTAAAGGACTAAAATGTAAACAATTTGTTGTTATATAATGTGTTCTAACAGTCAAATAAAATGCTAAGCAAGGACAGGCATTAAGAGAACTGTAAAATCAACTACAAAATAATTCTGCTTTGAGGTTACCTTCAGTTGAACAAGGGGGATAAAATATGCTCATAAATGATTACATTACTGGTTCATAACTGATTAAAAGGTTTAAAACGACACTGCTAACAAACTATAAGAATTCAGAGTCCCAGAAATCCTTCATTCCCTTCCATCAAGTTCCACCATTCCCTCCAAAGCAATATGGGAATTTAATATCAACACAAGTCAAACAGTCACAAGAAGCAAAGGTAAAAAGACAAGAAGAACAAAAAGAAAGAAAAGATTGAAAGACACCAAAGTAAAGTATCTTGGATTTTTCAAAGATTTGTCCCATAATGCTAAATGCTTTTGCATGAACTAATGGGCCATGACAATCCCAAATATTCTGTATAATAAAGATTTATAAATTATATGACTGGTTTGCAAGAATGGAATTACCATGTATAGTTTTTCTGATGAAAATACTTTTCTAAGTCATATATTAAATATCACTTTAATGTAAAATATTATTGATAATATTCCAACTCGCCAACAATGAATTGAATGATTAGAGTTTAGACGATACTTCCCAGACTAAAGTAATCATTTTCTCAACATAGAGGCTCAAAAAACTGTTAAGTTGTTGACAACACAACTGTAAAAATTCATGTAGAATAAAAAGCATGTCTCCAAATAGTAAAATGGTCTAAATAATAATTAATTAAAAGAAGCACTACAAATCTGCTCCTTCTTTGATTTTACTTTTTAACTAGTTTATAATAAAATTTGGAAGAATAGGAAAACTATCAAATTTTGAAAACCACTATTATTCTATATTTTATCACTACGCTGCTTAAAATGGCAATAGTGAAACACAAAAAATATTTGCAACTGCCAGACACTAAAAAGTCAGATAATAAGACGAATAAACTGAGATATTAAAGTGAATAAAAGTAAATATAAGAACAACATAATATTTAAAATTTCAAAGTACAGCATATAGAGTAAGATTAAGAGTTCAGTGCATAAGGACAACTTTGGGGGAAAATGTTCACCAAAGATCCAAATATACTGGACGTCATTAGAGTATTGTTCAGAAAAGACGGCTGTAAGGCAGGCCAAAATAAATATTCAGTAAAAAAAAGAAATTATCCAGTCACAACTTGAGTTTTGAGATAGACTCAACTTGTAGAGAATGATTAATACTGTATTATGTCACTGAAAATGTCTATTAATTATAAAAGGTTTCTAAAAACTGAAATGTTTAAATTTTCACTATAAAATGCGGAGAAAAATAAATATGAAATACTGTCAAAATTACAATTTCCGCAAATAGAATGTATAAGTTCTAAACTTAAATGG